TGTTCTTCAAATAGACCACATACATCTGAATGCACCACTTCGAGAATGCAGGATGATCTCATTGACATAGTCGAAACGAAAGAATTTCTAGATTGCTTTCCCACTAAACAACCTTCACAAAGTTTTTCAGGCATCTTAATACTTGGAATACCAGTAACCATATCTTGAGTAATCAGTTGATTAAGTGATCGAAAATTCAAATGTCCAAACCTCAAATACCACAACCAACTATCCTTGTGGTCGACAACAGTTTTCAAACATTGAACTTCTGTCGAACTGATCATAATCTTAAATGTCCTGTTCTTCGACAATGGAGATTTTAAAACCAAATTGTTGTTAGTGTCGAACAATTTCAAAACTCCATCTTTCATGACAACTGAGAAACATTTTTCAACTAATTGTCCAACACTTAACAAGTCGCATTTTATTCCAGGTACATAGAGCACATCTTTGATCATAACTTTCCCTCCATTATTCATTTGAAAGACTATATTGCCAGTACCTTCTTCTTGCAACGAACTATTATCAGCAAGTTTTACCTTGCTCTTCTTTGACTCGTCAAAATATGCCAACCACTCCTTTCGACCAGTCATGTGGTTCGAGCAGCCTGAGTCGAGAAATCAGATATTGGATTCAACATGGTTATCTACAATTGCAGCCACAACCATCATACCACCTTCAAAATCATCTGAATCTTGGCGTGCAAGGTTCGCTCCTTCGTCCTTGCCTTTCGACCCCTTGTCTTTTTTGTACCAATAATTCTTGGCCAAGTGTCCCCACTTTTCACAGTTATAACACTGCATACCTTTCTTATCTTCTTTGTCCTTTCGATAGTTTCCTCCTCCTCTTTTCGAGGATTCAGAAGATCTATCTTCGACCTTATTCTTATGGGAATTCGACCAAGACTTCTTTCCATGAGTCTTATCGAACTTGCCTTTGAATTTGTTGGAACCACCATATTTTTTCCATGATTGAGCTTGCAGTGCCTATATCGAGTCCTGAACTCCTTTCCTTTCGACAATCCTCATCTCATGCGCCTCCAACAAACCAACCAAATCTTCCACTTTAGTGGTTTCAAGATTGTTGGATTCTTGAATAGCTACGATAATATGATCAAAGTGAGAGGTCAACATTCTCATTACCTTCTCAACTATCATCTTATCAGTAATGGTTTCACCATAACCCTTCATGTGATGGACGAATTTCTGAACCTTCGACACATATTCTGCAACTTTTTCATCTTCTCCCATCGACAAAAACTCATATTGTCGATGCAAGGTTTGTAACTTAACAACCTTGACTTTCTCACTTCCTTCGAAATACTTTACCAGAATATCCCATGCCTCCTTCGTTGTTTCAGCATGAGAGATTTTGTCGAAGTTAGCAGCATCGACAGTCGTTTGAATACAATAAGAAGCCTTGTAATCTTTCTTCTTGACTTTGTTGTGGGCTTTTTTCTGTTCGTCGGTTGCATTTGCAGCCAACACAGGAATGCTGTTGGTAACCATTTCTAGGGTTTCATGAAAGCCAAATAAGGATTGTATCTGTTTTTTCCATCGGATCCAATTTTTTCCGTCAATCATTGAAAGAGAATTTGGAATGCCCTTATCACTAGCCATCTTCGCAGCGGTTGATTTACTTGCCCTAGAAAAACAATCTCTGACGTGAAATTCTTGAAAACTTGATCAAGAATAATAACCGGAAGCTCTGGATACCAATATGTTAGTGCGTGAGGCACTTTTAGTGAGGAGATAAAGAGAGAATAATAAAGGAAATAAGGAGTTGTATTATTCAATTGTACAAATAATGATACACACTATGACTATTTATATACAATCCTAATTGGGCTTAGGCTAACACAACTTGGATTATATTAAATATTAAATCTAATCAAATCTAATTTAATATTTCAACACTTTTAAGGATGCAATGCGTATCTATTCTGCATAGAATATGGTATTGATACAACCCGTATAAGGCTTTTTGAGAATTGACAGTTTCTCTGGAAAATATAGACCTTTTCGAGGATAAAAAATTTCTTTTGGAAATTGTGTATGAATTGCGTGCCAGTAAAAAAGTGAGATAGATAAAGACGTTCAATGATCAATTTATTACAATGTATATGGTGGAGGATGTAATACAATAAACAAATTTTCTTGTACGACCCAAAGAGTAGTAAGTGTTTGGTGCAAGTGGAACTATGACTTAGTATAGAACAGATGTCGGGTGATAACATTGATTTTCCAACAATAGTTTTCTATCTTTTGCCTGGAATAAATCAAGATTATTCCATATTATTCTCAGTAATATTGTGGAGCATATGAAAGTGTTGAAGCAATTATATTTGGAATCATATAGAAGATTTGATTGAAACAATTAAAAATTGCGTCTCTTACCTACTATAGGAATAGAGAAATGCTAAACAAACAATCAATACCAACCAAGATCAAAATCCTACACATAATACTTGTGAAAACCTTTGGTAAGATGTCTCAAATTCAATATAGATGACTCTTTCTCAACTACTCATAACAAAATAAGAATATATGTTTTTGTCCGAGATGAATGGATGATTTGTGATAGCTCAAAAAAAGTTGTTTCTCTTATTATTGAGGTCACTTAAACTATATGTCTTTTATCATCCATTAAATGGGTGCATGGACTCGACTTTGATGGAGTGGACTTTGAGCTAGATTTTAAAAGCGTGTCAGACATTATAACTAGCCAACATTTTTCAGAATTTCATAATATTATTGATGAATGTAAACGTTTATTAGCTCTTTAATTTATGAACTCTTATGTTAAAAATTTTATGAGACTAACTAATGAGAGTGTTTATGCTTTGAGACATGTACCTCATATGACTCCATGTCATGCTAGTGTTCATAATTTTATTGATATGTAATCAACAATTTCTTATTAATGATATGTATTAAGTCTTTTTTCGTTTAAAAAACACACACTACTACGTAAAATCTATTGCACAACTGTTGGAAAAGGAATACCACAACGCCTAACCAACCGTTGTGAGATAATGGATGATTATATGTATGATGTTTTCCACCACGATCGTGCGACCGTGATTATAAGTCAAGTAGCACACCACAGACACACACACACACACACACACACACACACATAGGCCAGGGGTTCGAAACCTAAAAACAATAATTTATTATGAGTAAAATTAATATTTCACCATGGTTGCAAAAGATAACTGTTGTGGTATGTATACATGAGTTTATTATAAAATATGTGGATTGTTTATTTTTTCTACATCTCACTAAACATATACAACCATTAAAATTGATGTAGAAAATAATAATTTGAAAAATTAAATTATTCTTGAAAAAAAAAAACTTAAACGAACCATTATTTTTTGAATTGCTTGCATCTCATTATTCATATCTTGCTATTTAACATATAGAATTTGATTCAACGCCCCGAGTTCTTCAAAGCAACGGTTCATTCTCTCCGAGTTTATTTTGCAAAGCATCAATATGTTGACTAATTTAGAATTATCATCATCGCTATCATCATCATTATTTTAAATGATGATGATGAGAATTATTACGATGACAACGACGAAGATGACTCAGAATTTTTCAACAAATTTGATGTTTTGCAATATAAACTAAAACAGAAAGAATTGTTACTTTGAAGAATTTGGGGCGTTGAACCAAACTCTACTTGTTAAAGAGCGATAGATGAATTATGAGACGCGCAATTCGAAAAATATTGAATGATCTAAGTTAGTCTTCAAATATAACTTAATTTTTAAATTATTATTTTCTAAATCAATTTAAATGAATGCATGTTCAGTGAAGGGTTAGTGAAACAACTAAACTATATACGATATAATAAACTCAACTAGATCTTCTGAGAAACATTTATCAACAAAACAACAATAATATACCTTTTATTGAAAAGATTCGTGGAATGATCTGAAGTTGATCTACTCTGTGTTACTATGAAGAAAAATACTAGACATATGAAGCTTCTAAAATAGCTTCATACTTCCTGCATTGTTTTTCCATAGCAATACAAATCATTTGTGAACCACATCCGTAGTATGCGTTTTCTTGAGTTAATTTGTTTCATTCACTTTTCTACAAGTCAAAAAACACCGTACCAAATATAGACAGATTTGAAAACATAAACTCAATAAAATTCAGAAACATAAACTCTTGAACTAGATTTCAAAATATAAACAACTTTCAACATGTTAACCTAATTTCGAAACATAAACTAGCATTAGCAGCATCTTAACATAAACGAAAACATAGTCCAAAAAAGAAGTAAATCATATCAAATGAAAAAAAACTCTTTTTAAGTAGAACTAGTGTCATACATGAAACATATATGAAAAATGAAAGAAAACTAATGGAGGAGAATTAGAAAGATAAAGCGTGTGAATTTGATTAACTTTTCACCACGGCTGTTAAAAACAACCGTGATAATATGTAAGTACTATTCACAATGATTTCTGGTATTAATTGTAATGATAAGTATTTTTATTTTAATATATTTATAAGAATATAAGGACAACTCTTTTTTATAACGAAAAGAAGAAAAAATTATTGATACCGGAAATTAAAGTAAGTAACCTTTAATATACCACGACGATTGTGTTTAAGGATTATGATAAAATGTATTTTAATAAAATATTAAAAAATATATTATGTAGTAGTGACACTAGTTAAAAAAATTATTTAAAGTAACTTAAAATTTTGAAAATGACATTAAATTATAAAAACTATTTTTTCCAAAAAACAGCAATTGAAATTAATGAGTGGATACCATTTAGTGTAAAAAACAAAAAGTTTCACCTATTGCATAGTCTTGAATCTTGATTGTAAATTTCTCTTTGGTGTAAGAAACAGGAAGGGCAAGTGTGGAGAGCCATATAGCTTATTTAAGCCATTATAACACATCTCCCATTGAGTACTTTTTTTCCTTCCTTTCTTTCTCTCTCACATTTTTCTTCTCCATTCTACAACATGGCTAATTCAGAAGCAATAATGAAACAAGGTGAATTCTATTGCTTGTTATTAATTAATTAATTAATTAATTAATTATATAATATACAAATTATCATGATACATATAATTGGAATGATGATTAATATTTTTGAGGTGGTGTTGTGTTATTATGGTAGAAGAAGTTAAAGAAGATGAACGTGAAGTACAGAGAAGTTACTGGAAAGAACATTGTGCAGATTTGTCAGTTGAGTCAATGATGCTCGATTCTAACGCATCTCATCTAGACAAAGAAGAGAGACCAGAAGTATGTACAACTCATTCTTAATCCTATAAATAACTAACTCTATAATATGCATTTTTTTCTTTTCTATTTTCAATATAGTTTATTTATTTGTAGACTTTAATTGCTACAAGTGGTTGATGTAAAGTAATTTATACTTTACGTGTATATATAGTGTATAGATATTAATCAGAAAATTAAGAGGTTGAACAGGTATATGGAAGAATATAAATTAAATTATTGCAATAGTTTTTTACATTTTAAATTAATGATGTATTCATATATTTTTAGTGGCAACATTATAAATTACATCAATTTCGTTTTTTTTACTTAAAAAGATTAATTTCATAAAAAAGTAAAAATAGAAACTAAAATTGTAATTATATCACACATGTTGAACATAATATATATATATGATTTAACCAGAGTAAAATGTTTTTTTTACTAATTTATTTATAATTATATAGGTGCTCTCTCTATTACCAGCATATGAAGGAAAATCAGTTTTAGAGCTTGGAGCAGGTATTGGAAGATTTACTTCTGAATTGGCTCTGAAAGCTGGACAATTGCTTGCTGTAGACTTCATTGAAACTGCAATAAAGAAGGTAAATTTCTTAATTACCACTTAAATATAAGTACTCGTGTCTGATGTCTAATATGCGTTAATAATGGTCTGAAATAGTTATCTTTAATTATTTAATTTTCATAACATGTTCATGTTAGTATTATATTTGATATTTGAATATGTCTTTGTTTATATTTAAATATTTATGGTTGATATTTGCAAAAATTCAAATAAAATAAAATTACTTATACTTAAAATTATTTCCTTCAATGGCATAATTTTTTTTTTGCAGAATGAAAATACTAATGGACACCACAAGAATGTGAAGTTCATGTGTGCTGATGTGACATCTCCAAACTTGCATATTTCTGAAGGATCAGTTGATTTAATATTCTCAAATTGGTTACTCATGTATCTTTCAGATCAAGAAGTGAGTTCTTTTTTATTTTTCCCTATTAAGGCATAGAATTTTCAAATTTAAATTAAACGAAATTAAAATACTCTACAATAAATAATATCAAATGTCTAATCAAGATCAAATGATTCATATTTTAAATTAATATTTAAAATTTAATTTGATAAAATTAAAAGAATTTTTTTTATTAATAACCATGTATTAAAATAATATTTCGCAAATAACCGCGTTTCGGAAAAAAATATATGCAAATAACCATGTTTCAGATGACTCCCCAAAGGAGGAGCCATCTGAAATGGCGCATGCACCTATATTTTAAGGGGAGGCGCCATCTCACTTGGCGCCTATGTGCTTGGGGCATGCCCTAAGCCAAGTGAGATGGCGCCTAGGTGTTATTTTAGGGTAAAATTTGTTTTTTTTTGTCCGGTGCGTTGCGTGTTGGATAGAGGATCAACAAAATGGACTTTTTATTAAAAAAAAATAATTACATCCAACTGTATTACATTAAAATAACAGATAAAAAAACAGATAAAAAAAACGGATAAAAAATACAGGAAAAAAAACAGATAAATCAGTGATCCCCCGGAACCCGGTAATGACCCCCGGTTCCGCATCCCCGTCCTCGCCTTTCTCGTGCTGGGTGTCGTCGTGTTTCCTGCTGCGGCAAGGTCGATGGCCCAGCGAAGTCAATGCGGTCCGGATCCATAAAATCAGTCAGATCTCCATATCTAGAAGATCCGCTTTGGTACAGTCGGTTACCCATATCCTCAAAGTTTGGTCGTGTTGGCGGTGGGTGGGGTTACATAGTGGGTCTGTAGCATTGATCGTCTGAGTACGGTGGGTAGAAAGGAAATGGATCTTGGGGTGTTTGGTATTGAGGATGTTGGGTGGTTTGGTGATATTGTGGTTGATGGTAGGTTGGGTCGGTTTGTTCGTAATCTTCTGACATTCCCATATCAGGGCTAAGGCTGGATGTTGAGGGGGCCATATTGGGATATGCGGAAGACTGAAATTGTGTGTGGGGTATGCGGGTGTGCTGATATTGGGATTGGTATTGTGGTTGGGTGTGAGGCATATCGGGGTATTGGTAGTGTGGTGGTGATTGTGGTTGGTTGTGTGGCATTTGAGTGTAGTTGTGTTGTGGTGGGGACTGTGGTTGGGTGTTTGTGGGTCTGTTTCTTCTTGGGGGTTGGTGGGAGGTTGATGGGTTTTGGGTTTGTTGATGGGGAAACGAGGGTTGTGCCCATTGTGTGCGTGGGTCAACCAAGTACCTTGGATGAGACACGTGCATTTCAGAGTTACTAACCGACCTGTACCAAGACAAATATTGATCCGTGTGTCGCATATTACCTTGATTAAGAAAAACCGGGAATTGCAAGACATAGCGGTGACGCCTCTGCCACATCTTACACCATTCCGGAGCGAAGTCTTTCCAGTTGGTAAGATCCCACTGGGTGTCGACCCTTTTAAGATGCCATGGGGACAAACAAGTTGGATCAGTTGGTATCTCTTGATGCATTCCGAACTGCATCTTCACACGGTCGTTGTGGTGCATCTCCACAATGTTGAACCGAATGATTGCAGTCTTCGCGGTCCAAGTTGCTGCATCCTCCGGGTTTGGATCATGGCCCAAACCCAAATATGGTCTCCAGATGAACTGCGATAAAATTTAAATCAGGTTAACGCAAAAGTAATGTATAAATAATTTAAATGAAGAAAAGTTAAAAGCTACGACGTACGTCGGCCAGGCCTAAGTGATCCAACAAATTATGGTAGAGTGCGAAATTGAATCTTGGATTCTTGCCGTAATCCATACCCCTCACGCAGTACTAAAGGAAATGAGAAACATTTTATTCTTAGCATATATTTGGGGAAGAGATGAATAGTAATAAATGCTATAACTTGATGACTTACTTTGTTGCGTACGGGAAACCGAAAGTGTTGTTGTTGACGGGGTTTAAGGACTCCATCCTCCACCAACCCCAGGCTTGTAGTAAAAAAGCGCACCCATAAAATGTACATTTTTCCTTGACTGCATTTTTGCACAAGGAACTGTATAGGTGGGCTAAAACTGCAGAACCCCAACTATATTTTCTTGTTTTTTCAAAATTTCTTAGTAAATGTAAATACATAAAATTTACACTATTTCTCGTACTTTCGGGAAATAAAAAGGTACCAAATAGTATCATAAGATAAGTTCTGGCTTTTACTACCCTGTCATTCTCGGAGGAATTTTCATTTAATTCCAAACTTGCATAATGACTTTTCAGCTCAGTGAGTAGTATTCCCTGACCTCTCGCACCACCACCTTCTACCATATCCCTGCCCAACAGTTCTTCACACTGAGAGTTGGGTTGTTGAACTGACCCGTTCACGGCCTTACCGTTGACAGGGAGACCTAGTAGCATGTACACATCCTCTAGCGTGATGGTACATTCACCTATTGGTAGGTGAAATGTGTGGGTCTCTGGTCTCCACCTTTCCAACATTGCAAGAATGAACTTCGAGTCAATGGTGCAGTTGGAGATCTTTATGACATGTCCAAAACCTGCGTATTCCAGATATGGTACGATAAATGGGTCGGGAGCCAGGTAGTTGTGAGAACAAATTCTGAATCTTTTTGTGTCCTGAGTTCATAATGTAACATGTGTAAGATTAAGTAAGAAGAACAACGCATTATCTGAAGTATGAAAAATGTATAACCAAAATAGAAACTTACAAATGCGGCAATGTTTTCCCTTGTGCCTTTGTGAGTATCGCCCATTGTTAGAAGAGCCATTGTTTAAAATGTTTGAGCTTATGAAAGACTTAGGAAGAGATATAGAGTATGAAAGATTTAGAAAGTGTAAGAGATTATGAAATATTTCGTAGCAGAGAGTGAGACTTGTGTGGGTGTGAGAGATGTATGATATGGTATGTATTTATAGGCAAATAAATTTCATATAGTGGTTGCTGGTGCTTGCATGCATGCGAAGTGTCACTCTTGCAGGCTAGGTGGCAGCCTAGGGGGTTACATATATGCATGCATGCATGTACAAAAAATGAAAGGTGTCACTCTTGCAGGCTAAGTGGCAGCCTAAGGATGTATCACGATTGGACAGTAAGGGAGGCGCCATTGGACTTGGCAAAAGAGTACAAAAATGAATGGTATCGCCACCCCAATTGGCGAATAAGAGGTGTCCTTTGTTGCAGCCTAGGCTCAGGCTACGTGACAACCTTTGGGATTCCTTGCCTGAATGCATGTAAGCCCATCGGAGGTGATGGGGGGAGACTTACAACATACAATATAGGTGCAGAGTAGGCGCAGGCTAGGTGGCAACCTAGGGGGTTACATATCTGCATGCATGTATCACGATTGGACAGTAAGGGAGGCGCCATTGGACTTGGCGAAAGAGTACAAAAATGAATGGTGTCGCCACCCCAATTGGCGAATAAGAGGTGTCCTTTGTTGCAGTCTAGGCTCAGGCTACGTGACAGCCTTTGGGATTCCTTGCCTGAATGCATGTAAGCCCATTGGAGGTGATGGGAGGAGACTTACAACATACAGTATAGGTGCAGAGTAGGCGCATGCTAGGTGGCAGCCTAGGGGGTTACATATCTGCATGCATGTATCACGATTGGACAGTAAGGGAGGCGCCATTGGACTTGGCGAAAGAGTACAAAAATGAATGGTGTCGCCACCCCAATTGGCGAATAAGAGGTGTCCTTTGTTGCAGCCTAGGCTCAGGCTACGTGACAGCCATTGGGATTCCTTGCATGTAACACTATTGGCAGCCTTGGGGGGTTGCATCCTTACTTAATTGAAATTTTTAGCCTTACGTTTATCATAACATTGATTCACATAATCTGTCAAATCTTCCAACCTTCAAACGTTCTTACAATCAAACCTTCAAACCTGCAAACAATCAAACATATAAACTTTCGAATCACTCATAAAGTTCAAACATTCCAACCTTCAAACATTACAACATTCAAACCTTCATACAATCAATAAACCTCAAACATTCCAACCTTCGAATCACTCATAAAATTCAAACATTCCAACCTTCAAACCTTAAAACAATTCTACGCAATGGCCTATGCACCACAATTTATCGTCAAAGCACATTTCAATGGTGAGACATACATTTGTCCCACCGCTGAGTTTTTGTTTAGAGACATAGACAACATCCGATTTCTCTTAAACGGGAAAGCCAATTTATCGTACTTCAAAAAAAGATTGGAGGCCAAACTTGAACGAGGCCCGGTGTCCCAGATATTTTATCAGAATCTAGTTTTATTTGGAAACAACCAAGTAATTTTTTATAAGGTTGAAGTTCAAGATGACGAGGATCTCCAGAATATGTTTTCCAGCCATGTCTATTCTGGGTACGACTCTATTGAGTTGTACGTTATGCTGCGAGAGCCTCAGGTGACACAAGAGGTTGATCCTTTGGAGAATGAACAAGCTGAGGTAGATGCAGTTGATGATGAAGAAGAAGATAACGAGTTAGAGTTTGATGAAATGGTGAATGATGATTCCGACGATGATGGCATCCCTAGTATTCCTGCAAACAAAATCTACACACCACCTCCGCACATGACAAACTTCAACATGGGCGGAGATGAACCTTCTACTGACTTATTTTTCAATCTGTATATGCAGTCGGATGAAAATTTAAAAGAGAATGACAAGTTTCGTAACAGAGAGGAATGCATCAGGGCCATCAAAAAATTCCACATGCTCAACTCGATTGATTTTAAGGTGGATCGTGTCAACCCGGAAAGGTACAAGATCAAGTGTGTCCACCCTGACTGTATGTTCAAGCTGACCGCATCATACAGATTAAGGGGTGATTGTTGGGTTATAGGTTCCATGACTACCCACACTTGTGTAAGTTCCACTCAATCACAGGACCACCGAAAACTCAACTATGATCTCATCTGTCAAGAAATCCTACCCCTGGTCAGCAACGACCCATCTTTGAAGGTGAAAACAATCATCTCCCATATCACCACGGTTTTTAACTACACTCCGTCTTACCGTAAGGCGTGGTTAGCAAAGACTAAGGCGGTTGAAAGGGTGTACGGAAACTGGGAGGAGTCATACCAAGAACTTACCCGCTACCTGAATGCACTCAAGACGTATTCTCCATGTAGTGTTTACGTTCTGGAAACAGTGCCAGCATACACCCAAGATGGTAGTCTACTAAATGGCAACGGAATATTCAGTCGTGTGTTTTGGGCATTTCAACCATGCATCACAGGGTTTGCATCATGCAAACCAATTATACAAATTGATGGGACTTGGTTGTATGGGAAGTACAAAGGCACGCTACTGATGGCAGTTGCACAAGATGGCAACAACAACATTTTCCCCATTGCCTTTGCCCTTGTCGAGGGGGAGACCGGTGGTGCTTGGAGCTTTTTCCTGAAAAATCTGCGGACATACGTGGGTCCTCAACCAGATCTCTGTTTGATCTCGGACAGACATGCCTCCATTGAAAGTGCCTACAATAATCCAGCAAATGGTTGGCATGACCCTCCTTCTACGCATGTCTATTGCATTAGGCATATCGTCCAGAATTTCTCGAGGGAGATCAAGGACAAAACATTGAGGAAAGCAGTTATGAATGCGGAATATGCATTGACACAACCCACATTCAAATATTACCGCAACGAGATCCGTTTGTCTAATCCGGAAACCGGTAGGTGGATCGACAATATTCCGGTAGAAAAATGGACTAGGTCATACGACAATGGCCAAAGATGGGGGCATATGACAACGAATCTTATTGAATCAATGAATGGGGTATTCAAAGGCATACGAAACCTCCCAATCACTGCCTTGGTAAAATCTACGTATTTTAGGATGGCTGCGTTATTTGCCAAAAGAGGTGAAATATGGAATGCGGTGTTGCAATCTGGACAACTATGGAGTGAAAGCTACATGAAATACATTAAGGCTGAAAGTGCTAAAGCCAACACTCACATGGTTATACGGTTTGACCGACACAGCCACAACTTCATTGTGAAAGAGACAATCGACCACAATGAAGGCCTGCCAAGACAAGAATATAGGGTCATGCTACCTTCTCAATGATGCGATTGTGGCAGGTTTCAAGCATTTTGTATGCCTTGCTCTCATGTCATTTCCGCTTGTGCTCATACCCATCAAGACGCGCTGCAACTTCTGTCAAACATTTACAAATCTGAAACGTTGCTCAACGTTTACAACAACAACTTTCCTTTGGTAGCAAAACCAGATTATTGGCCTGCATACGACGGCGAAATAGTGTGGCACAATGACCAAATGCGAAGGAACAAGAAGGGTCGTCCCAAAAGTAAGCGCATCACAACAGAAATGGACGATCTTGACAGGTTGGAAAGAAAGTGTGGTTTATGCTGTCAGGTCGGACACAATCGCAAAAACTGTCTGAATCGGGCGTCTGCCTCGACCACATAAATATTGTAATACATAAAATCTTTTCATAATTGTGTTGTAAACATTTGGGTTTTCCGTTAACAGATTTTGCTACAATTAATAAAACGCGTACAAGAATAATTAGCGATATTCCATCTACAAAATTACACTTGTTAACACAATTTCATCTGACCCATGCATCATCAACATTACATCGCTGCCTGTTTTGACTTCCTCCAACCACACATTAGGTCTTCCTGTCGCATGTGAGGTTGTTGTTCGTTTTCGCTGGATCCTTCGAATTCCCCCCCCCCCCCCCCCCCGCAATGTCTCCATCTAGCCATCGCATCAACTCCCGCTTCAGACGCTCCATGGAGTGAATGTGCCAGAATTTCATTTTCATCGCAGGTTTCGTGGCGGAGAAGATAACGTAACCATCTCTGCTAAAAATCATAGGCGATGTCATGATGCAAATAACAGAGTAGAAAATAAAAATACAGTGCGAGAAAGTGTGAGAAATTTCGGAGAAACGGACGGATTATTTATAAAACAGCATTTTGCCCTAGTTTTGCCCTAGGAGCCAAGTGAGATGGCGCCTCCTCTCACTTTTAAGGAGCATGCGCCATCTCACTTAGCTAAAAGCCAAGGGAGGCGCCAAATGAGATGGCGCCTAGGGAAAAATGGTAGGTGCATGCGCCATTTCAGATGGCTCCTCCTTTGGGGAGTCATCTTAAACATGGTTATTTGCGTAATTTTTTTCGAAACCCGGTTATTTGCGAAATATTATTTTAATACATAGTTATTAATAAAAAAAATTCAAAATTCAAATATTAACTATATGATCTTAATTCAATGTTAATCGTCTAATAGTATTTAGTTGCCATTACTCTTTGTTAAGACTTCCATTTTTCTTTTGATGAATTAATTTCAGGTTAAAAATTTAGCTGAAAGAATGGTAAAATGGTTAAAAGTTGATGGGTATATATTCTTTAGAGAATCTTGTTTTCACAGATCTGGAGATTCAAAGAGAAAATACAATCCAACTCACTATAGGGAACCAAGATTTTACACTAAGGTTTGTTTTAAGTGTAGTTATTCATATTATAGAAAAGTTTGATTTTAATTATTATCCTTCACCATTTTATGTAGGTATTTAAAGAGTGTCAAATAAGTGATGAAAATGGCAATTCCTTTGAGCTTTCTCTTGTTGGCTGCAAATGCATTGGAGCCTATGTTAGACATAAGAAGAATCAAAATCAGGTAAAATGAAAGTATTTTTTAAAAAGCTATTATATAATATATTATTTCTTCATGCAATATATAGGATTGGAGATATTTTTTAGGGTGCATAGGGCAGATTATTACACGGAGGCCAAATTTTAATAAATTTAAAAATTTGATAAGTTTGATCGTAAATTAAAAAGAGTCTCATAAATTATTTATCACCGTTAAACTATGATAAAATAAATTTTTATATAATTTGTCACACTTATATTATAGTTGATCTTATACAAGGTCTTTGAAAATTTAAGACGACACTGATTGATTAATTAATTAATTAACCAGTAATTCTTGTGATGCAGATTTGTTGGATATGGCAAAAAGTTAAATCTCAAGATGATAGAGGATTTCAAAGATTCTTAGACAGTGTTGAGTATAATCATAAGGATATCTTACTATATGAACATGTTTATGGTCAAGGCTTTGTTAGCACCGGAGGACTTGGTAAGAATGTTTAATCAATCATGCATTTATAGTGGATTTCAAATATTTCCAACCTAAAAAAGTGCTTATTGTTTGAGCAGAAACAACTAGAGAAATTGTGGCAAAGTTAGACCTAAAGCCAGGTCAAAAAGTACTAGATGTTGGTTGTGGCATTGGAGGAGGTGCTTTTTACATGGCTGAAAATTTTGATGTTGAGGTTGTTGCCATTGACCTCTCCATAAACATGATTTCTCTAGCCATCGAACGCGCCATCGGACTCAAATACTCGGTAGAATTCGAATGTGTTGATTGCACTAAAAAAACATATCTTGAAAACACATTCGACGTAATCTATACTCGCGACACCTTGTTACATGTCAAAGTAAGAAAGATTTTATATTTGATTTTTTTGGAAAAATATTTTTTTGTAAAATTTAATTATAAAAATATTTTATGTGTTTTATATAGGACAAGCCAACATTGTTTAGATCATTTTATAAATGGTTGAAACCTGGAGGTACACTTTTAATTAGTGACTATTGCAAAAGTGTTGGAAGTCTTTCAATGGAATATGCAGAATACATCAAAAAGAGAGGATATTATATCCATGACATGAATTCATATTATAAGGTATGATAGTATATTGATTTTGATATTTAATAATTTAGAAATTAATTTTTATAATTTTTTTTTAAATTCTATATATATATTTTAATTTTTTTTCCCCATGATGATATGTTATTTATATTCTAAATCATTTACAGATGCTTGAGAATGCTGGATTTGATTATGTCATTGCTGAGGATCAAACCAATTTGGTATGAATTAATTTTCTTGACATTTACATTTTATTTTCTTAGCATTTATGTTTTAATTTTCTAACAAATATTTGTTGTTTCAGTTCTTGAAAACTCTACAAATGGAGTTAAATGGCCTTGAGAATAATAAAGTTGACTTCATTGATGATTTCTCAGAGGTGAACTTGTTATAATATACTTCGGACATGAATATTTTTTAATTCAGTTTCTGTTTTATATATGATAATTAACTGTAATGTAAATTTATTTTTGGTTTTAAAGTATTAATTAATTTATTGAAATAATTACATTTAGGATGATTACAATGAAATTGTTGAAAGATGGAAGGCCAAGCAGATGAGAGGCGTGGCTGGAGAGCAGATATGGGGCTTGTTCATTGCCAAGAAAATATGATGTTTTTTTCTTATGTTATGTTTATTTCATGTCATGTAATGAATGAATATGCTTAGTTGACTGTGAACAACTTTTGCAAAATACTTTTTTTGTCTGTATATTAACTTTAAGGTTATTTTGATCTTTTAATTTAAAAAGAATTTATATTGATCTCTTAATTTTAAAAAAGTTTTATTTTATTTTATTTTATTTAATAATGAAAAAACTTAAAAATTGACCGCTAAATTCGTCATTAATTAATTAATTAAAATAAAATATTTTTAAAATTAAGAGAATAATATAAATATTTTTTAAGTTAAGGGACTAAAATAAACATTATGATTAAGATACAAGAAAAAAAAATATTTTGTCAAAAATTTTCTACTAATAATTGTTCATTGTTCGACTTTTGGTTTGCATAGCTTTTTATGCATCCTCTTCTATATGGAATATATGGAAGTAAATGTGATGTTAATAAATTTTTATTTGAATTAATATTTGTATTTGCTAAAATTACAACACCCTTTATTGTAGGATATTCATAGATTTTTATGGTTGTTCTCGTATTAGAGTAAGTTTACAAAAGGAATGTGAGAAGTTCTATTATATTGATGTTTTCGGGTGAAAATTTGTGAGACTTTCCAACCTTAGTGTTGAGATATATAAGAATTTCTTGAGTTTGGATTTTGAGAATAATACTCAATCTCAAGTGCATAAGATATGGATAATCAACTCCAGTGTTATTAAGGAGAATATGATTTTCCTTCTTTTTTGACTTCCTCTTTGTACCGTCATCGATAGGAACACATCACCCCCTACATTTTCATAGAAGGAGAGTGATATAGGAAATATGTGCCTCGACTAAATGATGGGTGTTCATTCCAACAAATGGGCAGATAGGAAGGTGGCAGGTGTGATATATATTACGTCGCCTATCCTTAGAGAACTTCCTATATTTTCTTTTATGTACCTGGGTTGAGTCCCTTAAATGTACCTATGCGAGTTCTTCAGGCGTGTCTGAAGCAAGTTTTCCAAGAGCGACCCAGGGTAGACTTCCAGGTGTCAATGAGATGAATCTTCTGTTAGAATAAGATTTGGTTCTGCGTAAAATCTCTAGTTTTGATGGTAACAATGCATATATTTTATATATAACAATTTTGTACTCTAATAGTTTCTTGAGTATGCAGATATAGTATTCTATTTGATTTTGGATAAGATCATTAGAATCATTGATGGCATGCCTTAGAAGAACTATGGCATCCACTTCCAAAGAAACATCAGTAGTTATGATGAATGTTAAATGTTCGCTAGAAAAGGATCTCCATGTGCTTCTAAGATAAAGTTTTTGCTTCCAACTCAGAAATCAAGATGCACTTCTCAGATAAGTCTTTGCTTCCAGAAGTCAAGATTTGTTTCTCATAAAAGCTTTTGCTTCCAGTTCTGAAGACAAGAATCTGACTTTGAAGACTCTGATACTCTTGAAGAACTCATCTAACGTGATCTCTTTTATACTCGTTATTGCTTCAGATTAAAAATATTTCATTAGAAGATAAATATCAAGAAAATTGCACTAGAAAAAATAGTACAACAGTATAGTAAATATCCCACAATGGTAAAAATGTATGTACGATCAAATATTTTTTGTACTATTGTCTCACACGATCTCATGCTACCGTTATGGCAGCAGGAAAATGAGAGTGACGTTTTTTCCTTCTCAACAGTCTACTTTTTGAAGCCTATATAAAGGAATGACTACTTCATTGAATAATCAACTTTTGGAAAAATGAATTGAAATAAGAAGTTGGAACAACAATTGAAAAGAAGAGTTACTGTGCAAAACTATTCACGTAGAGAAATATTCTTCCAAGAGAAAATTAAAACCCAAAGATTTGTTGCTTATTTTTGTGTTAACATTTGTTCTCAATCAAAACACAAAGAGTTGTTGCTAATTTTTGTGTAAACATTTGTTCTTCATTATTTTATTAAATTTGTTTTTCGAGAAGCACTATTGTGTTAGTCTGTATACTTAAGATGGCTAAGGTATTTTCTAGCTCTTAGACGTTATTGTAATCTTTTGAAAGTTGTTTTTCCTCAAGTGACTAAGTGATAGTCTGTATACTTGAGAGGACTAAGGTGTTTTTCTAAAATCTTAGACGTTTGTTTGTAATCTTTCAAGATTAGTGAATTAAGTCCATTTTGAAGGTGAAATCACCTTGGCGGATGGACAAGAGTAGTCTTGTTTAAGGTGAATTTGTATAAACCGATTGAGTCAACTTTCTTTCTTAGCTTATCTATCTTGATTATTTGTGTAAACATTTCTAACCAAAAAGTTTTTGAAAATCCAACTCACCCCCCCCCCCCCCTTTTCTTATGTTTTTATCAACCTTCAATTGGTATCATAGATTCGGCTCTGTTATAGATTTTTCAAATACTTAACCGTGTAGAGAGATCTATTGTGAGAAAAACTTATGGTTGCTGCTAATACAAATGAGAGAGATAGTTACAATGCTAAACCTCCTGTTTTTGATGGAGAGAAATTTGATTATTGGAAAGATAGACTAGAAAGTTTCTTTTTAGGCTATGATATAGATCTTTGGGATGTTATCATAAATGGCTATAAGGCACCTATTGGTACAATTGGCATTCCCATTCCCAGAAACAGAATGAATGATGTTCAAAAGCAGGAACTCAAGAATCACCACAAAGCCATAAGTATTATTTTTCAATTCTATCTCTTATAATGAATATGAAAAGATTACTAATAGAAAATTAGCAAAAGATATTCTTGACTCGTTAAGAATGACACATGAAGGAAATGCTTAAGTCAAGGAAACTAAGGCTTGGGACTTAATCCAGAAATTTGAAGCTTTCAAGATGGAAGACGAAGAAACTGTTGAGACTATGTTCTCAAGGTTTCAAACCATAGTAGCAGGACTTAAGGTTCTGGACAAAGATTACTCCAAAGCTGATCATATCAAAAAGATCATTAGAAGCCTTCCCAAAAGATAGAGACCTATGGTTACTGCGTTGAAGCTATCTAAGGATCAGAACAACATAACTCTTGAAGAGTTGGTCAAATCTCTCAGAAGTCGTGAAATAGAGTTATAGGAAGATGAGCCCCAGAAAAGAAGCAAATATGTTGTTCTAAGATCTAGATCAAAAAGAACCAAGTTAGAAAAGAACAAAGCCTTCCAAGCTGAAGAAGTAGAAGATTCTGACGATAAAGTTTCTGTTGACGAAGATGAATTGTCCCTTCTATCTAAAAGAGTCAAGAAACTCTGGAAGAAAAGAAAAAACAACTTCTGAGGATCCAGAAATAGAGGATATCATTCAGAAACATCTGCAAGAAGAATAACAAGCAAGGAAGTAACATTTTACGAGTGCAAGAAGCCTGGACACTATAGAAATGAATGTCCAACGCTCAAGAAAGAAAGAAACAGAAAAGAAAGCTTCAAGAAAAGTAGTTTCAATGAAAGAATAAAGGTCCCATGGCAACATGGGATAACTTTGACTCTAAAGGATTAGAACCTGAAGAAGGGCATGCCAACGTAGAATTCATGGCCACTATGTTAGAAGGAAACACTATAGAAATTGAGTTTGACTCAGAAGAGGTATTTTCTGAACTTTCTCGTGCTAGGTTAGAATTATGTTTGTCTGAATCTCTGAATAGATATCAGAAACATCAACGAAAATTCAAGAACCTACAGAAGGTTCATGAATATGAAATTGAAGAATATGGTAAGCTAGAGAAAGAAGTTTCTGAACAAAAATTAGACAATTTTATTCTAGAAAAAGAAAATACTTTTCTAAACAAAAAAAATATTTAAAACTTGAAGAAACTCTTTCTAAAGCTCCTACGTCTTCTGAAACTATCTTATACAAATATGATAAGGCATTTCAAAAATTCTTAAACAACGGTATAGGGAGAAGCAAAATGGCTTCCATGATCAATGGTGTTAGTCAAACTGGGAAGAGAGGATTTGGTTATGTTTATGATGAAGATAATCAAGAAAATAAACTTGAATCTCCTTTTTCTTACCTCTACACACCAGCACAGACACAAAAAAATTAATATTGCACGTAAACCCAAGTTTATCGGAAGTTCTAGGAAAACTAATTCTAAAGGACCCAAAAGCTTATGGGTACCAAAAGATAAAATAGTGTATGTTGCAGATATCCTATACAATAAATTTAAAATACCAGTCATGGTGCCTAGACTCTGGGTGCTCATGTCACATGACGGGAAGAAAGCAAATGTTCCAAAACCTCGAACTTAAAGATGTTAGGTACGTTCGTTTCAGAGGAAACCATAAAGGAAGAATAAAAGGGTCTGGAACAATGGGTAATGGATATCTTCCTTCTATATCTAATGTACTTTATGTTAAGGGTCTAATGCATAAATTATTATCCATAAGTCAATTAAGTGTTAACGATTATGATATTATTTTTAATCAAAAAGCCTGTAAGGTTGTAAGTCATAAAGATGGTACAGTTCTCTTCACTTGAAAGAGGGAAAACAACATTTATAAAATAAATCTTTTTGATCTTAAAAAACCAAGATGTAAAATGCTTAATGTCTGTTAGCAAAGAGCATTGGATGTGGCATAGACGCTTGGGTCACATTAGCTTGAGAAGGATATCTAGACTAAATAAACTTGAGTTAGTCAGAGGCCTACCTAAGCTGAAGTTTACTTCATATGCTCTTTGTGAAGCATGTTAGAAAGGCAAGTTTTCTAAAACTTCATTTAAGGCTAAAAATGTTGTTTCCACCTCCAGACCTTTGGAGCTTCTACATATTGACTTATTAGGACCTGTTAAAACAGTGTCAGTCAATGGTAAGATGTATAGACTTGTTATTGTAGATGACTATAGTCGTTGGACATGAGTAATATTTCTAAGGCACAAGGATGAGTCACATCTTGCATTTACTAGTTTCTATTCTAAAGTGCAAAATAAGTTTGATTCTAAGATCGTTAGAGTCAGAAGTGATCATGGTGAAGAGTTTGAAAATAAACAGTTTG